CGGGGGGGGGGGGGGGATGTGATTGCTTTTTGGGATGATATAAAAATTCTAACACTGACTGTGGGGATGGTTGCACACATCTGTGAGTATACTAAAGCCATGATATATAGTTATGCCTATTTATACCTATATCTCCAGGTGTATAACATGGGGGCTTGCCATAGCTAAGATTAGTGAAAACACAGTGTTAAGAGGAATAAAAGAAACACTGAAAGTTAGGGCCTGCTATGTGGCCATGGAGGAGGGTGAAGAAGAGGGAATGATAAAAATAAATCATTCCATTTCCTGCCATTTACCCCAGAAAGTAGCAATGTGCTCACTCATTTGCCTCTTCCCTACAGGTGTGTAGTCATAGCAGGACTTGTTCAAGGATGATGGGCAAAACAGCTGGCTGCTTGACTCTCCTTGGGCAAATGAACATTGTGAGTTAATCTGGGGCCTTGGCAGATAGCACGGGCAATAATGTACCTGACAGTTCTCCGTCTCTGACAAGACACCCAGCTCTGGGAAGGCTGCCTGTGGAGCAGCGAGGAAGGGGCTGCCTCACATCTGGAGTAGAAAATTCTGGACCATGTGAATGTGGGAGCCTTTCCAGGACTTCAATTTTCTGTGTTCTCATTACAATAATGGGTGATAAGAGACTGCCTTTATTAAAGGTTTATCTCTTTTATAGAATGAGGGCCTAAAGCAGATGGTTCCTACCTGTAGAAATTGGGGAAACCCTTCTGATGGATTGGGGGAAAAGTTGCAAAAATGATGCTTTCCAGAAAGTGTTGGGAACAATCAGGAGAGTTTTCTGCTCTCCTCCCCACCTCCAGGACCAGCTCTGGGAACTCCCACAGACTGGAGTTCTGGCTTCCACTGGCCTTCCCAGCTAAGGTAGAGGCTAATTAGGAACTAACTGGGAAATGGAGGATAGGGTGCAAGATTTGGGGAATGACTTATTAGACAAAGTCCAGAAATTGTCTAGAAACAGGAATATGAGGAATGTAGGACTAAAAGGAAATACAGTTTAGCACCAGAATCTGTGATGTGTACAAAGTGAAGCAGGCAAACCATTAGTCAGCCTCAAGGGGCTCACAGTTGGGGGAGGTGTGAGTAATGGAAAGGCACATGGTTAACCTGCCAAAAGGCAAATCATTACAAATATAATACGAGAGACACAAAATATCAGGGACACATAGAGGAAGGGAAGGATTCCTGCAGAAAGCAACATGTGACCTTTAAAGTAAATGAAGAATTCTGAAGAGTGACTTTGTGTGGTGTGCACACAGAGCATGCCTACGTGCAAAGAGGGATCACAGTCCATTTTAGGCAGAGAAAGCAGCGTGAGCAAAGGTAAGAAAGAAGAACAGTCTATGGCCTGCTCAGAGCACAGGGCAATTGTGCTCAGAAAAACACAAAGTGGAAGACAGGACACAGTGCATTTACAATTTCAAAAAGGCCCTTCTGGATACTGTTGATGAACAGTCCACCAGAAACATCTTAAGGAGAAAACATTATTAAGCAAAGATAACGGCATAAAGCATTCCATAGACTCTGACAACAAGTTAGGGAAGCACTTTGCTTGGATTTTCTGTTTTATCACATCTAACCTCAGGAATTCCAGTTGGGACCTTTAGAACCCGTTCCATGTTAACACTCCATTAAAACAGCACATAAGCTTTTTTCCTTGTCTGGCTTTCTCCCACTCAAGTGTCATTCCTCCACTGAGCAATAAATCCTTGTGGAATCATTTCTGTTATGGCGGTGTCGGGCTAGAAAGATGCTCAGAGAAGGTTTATTCTGTAAACTTGAGTATGGGAACTGTAGTTACATGTCTGTATCCCCCAGGGGGCCCAGCACACTATCTGGCATATAGTAGACATTCAGATATTTATGGAAGGAAGGAAAGCAGGCAGGCAGGCAGAAAGGCAGACTGATCCTATGCAATAAAAGGGTAATATGCAAATTGACTATAATGGCAGAATGACCGGGAACTGGTCGCTATGACGCACAATGACCACCAGGGGCCAGATGTTCGACACAGAAGCTGCCCCCTGGTGGTCAGTGTGCTTCCACAGTGGGAGCTCTGCTCAGCCACAAGCCAGGCTGACAGCTGTGAGCGCAGCAACAGTGGTGGAAGCCTCTCCCGCCTCCACAGTAAGACATCCCCCAAGGGCTCCTGGGCTGCCAGAAGGGTGTCCGACTCCCAGCTTAGGCCTGATCCCCTGGGGAGTGGGCCTAGTCTGGCAGGTGGACATCCCCTGAGGGGTCCTGGGGTGTGAGAGGGTGTAGGCCGGGCTGAGGGATCCCCCCGAGTGCATGAATTTTTGTGTACCAGGCCTCTAGTTAGATGATAAAACGTTCTGAATTTCAAGTTTTTGTCACTTCTGATATGACTATCAGAATGGCCATCACTGCTACAGTCCCCCTCTCACTGAACTTCCTTTTCCCCTTCATTTCTTCTCTCCCTCTTGCTCTTCCCTTGCATCCTGTAGCGACCCACTTGGCTCTGTTCATTTTAGGTCACTTTCTGGGGCCCAAGACTACACAGACTTGTGCCATTATTCACCAACAGGACTGGCTCCTCATTAAAAAACCAAAGGATCTGAGGAGACCTGTCAGCTCTGACCCTTCTCCGGGCTTCTATTCCACACATGTGCTCGACCTTAGCTGCATATTACTCTCCCCCAGCCACTTTAAAAACTCTCAATGCCCAGCTCAGACCCAGGCCAATCCTCACAGAACCTCAGAGGTGAGACCCAGAATCACTATTGTTCAAAGATCCCCAGGTGACTCTATGTGCAGCCAAGACTGAAATAGTTGCATTAGAGTAGGGATTCTCAAACTTGAGTGGGCATCAAAGTCACCTGGAAGGTGAGCTAAAACTCAGATGGTCGGGCTCTAGCCCTGGAGATTCTGACTCAATAGATGTGGAGGGGGAGTCCAAACTATGCATGTCTAACAAGCTCTCAGGTGATGATGATGTGGCAGGTCTGGGGACTGTACGTTGAGACCCCCTCCATGTGAGGGAGCTGTATGTGAAGGAGAAGTGAAACCTCCTAGTCAACCCCTGCATCACAGCAGGTGCCTCTACACATGAGATTTATGGCTACCTTGGTTTGGGGTTGAGGCATGGAGGCAAACATGCCTTGTCCAAAATCATAGCACTTGGGCTGGAATGGGGTTAAACAAAAGACAAACACTGATCCCCATGCTTTATCCAGGAGATAGAGGTTTGGGATGGCCAGTAAAGAAAAGTGAGGAACAAAGTGAGTAACCTATTATCCCAAGGTAATGAAGCATTTTCACCTGCCTCAATGGCTCAAGAATGGAAAATCACAGCTTACGTCAAAGAAGGTGCCTGCATGCTCCAGGATCAGCTGGTTGGAATCAGGTTTGTTTTTACAGTAGGTGACATACATCTGAAATTTGTCTGCCTAAAAAGAACAAAGACAAGAACAGGTAAGCATCCATTCATTGCTCCCTTCTGTTGACTGTGTCTAAAGGGTCCAGCAGGGGCTGTGTAAACAGATACGGTGTGCCACAGGATTATCTGTGCCCAATGATCTGGGTTTATCTGGTCCATGCTCCCCAAACTTTTGGATGCTTTTCTCCTAACAGCAGGAGAAAGCTCACTGAAAGTAAGCTAATTTTAATACTAGTCAGTGCTGGAAAGAATAAGCAAAAACCAATTCACATATCATAATGTATTCTGCAGTTGGACAGCATTTACTTAGAGATTATCCCCTTTTGGGGATTACCTACAATTGTGCTTCCCATCTTGAACAATGACAGCATTTGCTTGGAAAGCAAAAATCAAGGCATGAAAATGAAGTATGATCTCAGAGTTAGATCTGCTTGTACTTCAAGGGCTCCATGGAGGGTGGTTTGCAGGGGGTGTCAAGTGACTACACAGCCATCCCCAACTTCTCAGAAGCAATGATGGGGGGAGGGGAGGCAGGGGGACCCTCTGGGCCAAGGTCTGAACAATGAGTCCTAACCAGGTTGTTACTTCAAGTCAAGAAGTTATGGCTTGTTGAAAATTCATTTCTTATTTCTCTCAGGACCCTCTAGGTTAATGCTACCCACCCTTTCCACTGGGAAAGGTATGTGTATTTTGGCCACCAAGTACTTTCCTGTTTGTGAAATGCTGCCATCTTGGTGCCTACAGAACATTTGGGGTGTCCTCTTTGAGAAAGCAGCCTAGATATGCATTATACCTGTAGCAGGTTTCATTTGATCCTCATTCATGAGAACCCTATGCAATGAGTTGCATTATCATCATCCCCATTTTACAGAAGTGAAAACTGTTCAAAAGTGGTAGAGCCTAGGAACGCTGACTTCAGGCTTCCTGGTCATAGCCTTTCAATACATTATAAATAACTCTTCTACCATTTACTCCTGCACTACGCTCATAGATAAGATTATAGGACTTAAAGTCACCTTGGGATAATTCTTGGCAAGATGTGCCTGTTTTATGCAATCACCAAAGTATTTCTGAAACTGGTTTTTGGGTTAATATACTACCTGGAAGGCATTCATCATCCCTAAGAGATGATGCGGAATCATATTTATGGTTGATTGTGAGTCAAATCCACAAATTGTGTGAAACAAGATTTAAAAATCCCTTCATTTACTGGTCAATCTTGTCTTCTCTACATTGGCTGTGCAAGGAATCATAAATTGCTTGTAAGCATTAATGTGAAGTATGCTTGGGCTCATGTCGTTAGAGGTAGAAAATGTAATAGAACAAAATAAGACAGCAGTCTGAGACTTCCTTAAGAAATGAGAGAATGCCAGGAAATAAACATGAAGGCTTCATGAAAAGAAAATAACTCAAGACTTGAACTGTGGAACTGACTGTGATATTATGTCAGGGGACTAGTCGATTTCCCAGCTCATTTGAAATGTATCCATCTATAAAACATAAAAGATAACCATAGCCCTGCCTATTCCATAACTCTTGAAGAATGAAGCTATTTTGAAAAGTGATTCACCCATTTTGAGCAGAAGTTATAATTAGACAACAATTATTACATATTAGAACTTCTGACCTGTGGGGAGAATTTCCATGTTTGGTGGCACATAGTGTCCTTCGTGACCTTCTCAGGAGATCTTTGCATTCATATCACAAACCTTAGTTGAAACTAATGTGATGTGGAGATGCTAATGGAGACTACTGTTTCCACTCATGTAATTAGAACTGGTACATTCAGCCCATTGACTTGGCCCATGACAATAGCACCTTGAAAGAGAATGACTTGACACTCATCTTGCAGGTTAGAACTGGGATGGATACCCAAAGAGTGTGTTCTTCTCTATTAAGGAAAAAAATGTACCCAATGGCTTGGTGGCTTGATGTATTCCTAAAGGTCTGATTCCCTAATCCTCATCCAGTTAAAAAACAAACAAAACAAAAATAGTAGATGGAGCCAGAGTAGTCTTCTATCAAGGGTGGTGGTCTTGTTCCCATCTTCTGATATCTTAATTTTAGAAAGTGCTAGAAAACTTAGCATGGCACCTGGACACAATGTCTAAAGACTTTTCCCAAGGAGGGCTCTGCTCCTCAAGGAGGGACTGCTTCTCTCAGATTTACTCATGGCCCTTTTCTACAGTCCCTGGTCCTCTGTTAGAATGTCAGTGATACATTCTCAGGTCAGGCACCGAGCAGTGATGCCATCTGGCGTCATCTTCACTCCTGGGAAGCCTGGGGGATGGGAGAACAGGATTTCAGGTCAGTTACCCAGGTAACAAAGCAGTGTCCCACATCCTCAGGCAGCTGCTCGTACTTCTCCAGCTCTTTGAGGAAGATGCTGTGAGGGGAGAGAAAGGCTAAGTCAGACATCTCTGTACTGCTGACCCCCGCTCCACCCCAGAGGATTGTGCTGAGGCCAACTCAACCTCGTAAACCCTCAGTTATTTACACATGGCTTCTCCACTAAGTGATAACGTGGTCAAACATAGTTTTAAATATGTTGGAACTCATTTCATTAAAATGTACATTAACTGATTAATTAATGCTACTTAAAATAATAAAGTTTACCTTAGGGGTTTATACTTCTCAGGCTGAAAGTAATGAAATATTGTATTTGTTTTGGGCCTTTTATTTTAGCAGCAACTACAAGCCTATTTTTATACAAGCCACCTGAATACTCTGTAATATTTAAAACATAGATATAAATATAAAAAAGAACAAATTAATATCATCTGTAATCCCAGAGGTAAAGTGGAAAACTTTTTAATCCTACACAACTTCTTTCTAATTATTGGCCTTCTTCCACGACAGCCAGTTTGTATTAAAAAATAAGAGTTAATGTTTCCTAATGCAGACATCATTTTGGAAAAAAAGTTAACAGAGAAAAAGTTATAATCTACTTCAAAGTTGAATTGAATTACTACTGAATAATCTGCTATTGTGGACATCTGCGCCATGTCTCCTTTCTGTGCTAATAAATAATAAAGAGTTGACTATAACAACTTCAAAGTAAGATATTACTTTCTTTGAGCTCAGAGAATATAACCTCTAATAAGCAGGAATCACTGGAATAGAATTAGTTTTTTTTTAAAAAAATCACACAATGTTTTTCAAATAAATAATTATGAGGATGTAGTGATACATGCTGATGGAAATGAATGATGGTGTGATCTTTACAAAGGACAACTTGGCAATTTCTATCAACATTTTGTCTCTGCAATTTCAATCCCGAAAAATTTCCTAAAGCTGGATTCACATGTGCCTACAGTGGTGTACATACATGCATATTCACTGTGACACTGTTAATAATAGCAAAATAGTCTGTGGATGACAAAGTAAACCATGGCACATCCACAGAACTGAATATTACATAGCTATAAGAAATAACAAAGCCTTCTATGTTTTCATATGGAAGAACTCCAGGGCAGGCCATTAAGTGAAAAGAGAAAGGTATGGAAGAATGCAGATAATACCCTCCTTTGGTCTATGTAGGAAATATATATTCTTATTTCCAATCCAAGAAACTAATGGTCAAAGGGTACGGTTTCAGTTATACAAGGTAAACTCTGAGGATCTACTATATAGTATAGTACCTACAACTAGTAATACTATATTATATACTTAAAATTTGCTAAGATACAGATATTATGTTAAATGTTCTTGCTTAATAATAATAATAACAGTAATAATAACAGGAGAGTTTTGGGAGGTGATGGATATATCTATTGCCTTGATGGCAGTGATGGTTTCATGGGTGTATACTTATCCCCAAATTCTTCAAGTTGTATATATTAAATGTGTACAGCTTTTTACATATTAATCATACGTCAATAAAGTGATTTAAATAAAAAATTTCTACCACAGGAAATCAGTTGAAGGGATAGGGTAAGATAGTGATGGATAGAACTTCTCAATCTATATTTTATATTTAATGTTGATTTTTAAAATTAATCCAAAAATTAAATACAATTATATAAAGCAGTTCAGAATTATTTTACAACTTATCTCTAGCATTGGAAAAATTAATTTTATTGATTTGATTTATTCTATCTGGCTCCTACTGGCCAAGCATTCTTACTGTATTTTATAATTACTATTGGTTACGGGTTCTGTGTGTGTTCTCTCTTCAATGACATGACACAGAACAATGTTGGTTTCGGTTAAAAAAAAAAAGCTATGTGTAACAAAAATACTTGGCAGGTCATATTTGGAAAGCTAAAGTACTAATAATGATTGGTGGGAACATAGATTTTTTTTTACCTATCTGCAATTTAAATTTTCTACAATAAATTGGTATTTAGTTATAAGCAAAAGTCACCTGAAAAATTTGGGGACTCTGAGCAGTACCCATTTGGTGATAATCATCTTTCCCCTAACATGTGAATTTTAGAGTATCTGATCTAAATCATGAAATAGTGGAAATTAAAATGCAACTTGAGCTTTCAAACTGCAAATATGCAGAGCTCTAAAATCAGTAACTCTGGAAAAGTTCCGAAAATCACATTTATTACTATTTTCTGAAAAATTGCAGGTGACACACATGTATTTAATATAACTTCCAAAATAGAGACAGGAAAAAATAGTACATCATGCTGTAATTAAGGATTAAATCTTTTTCAAGACCAAAATGGAAACAACCTTTTTTGTTGCAAAGAGAAGCAATCTGGCTCATTCCTGTATACATCATGTTAATTCTGGAAAATTTCCGTAACATAACAATACCTTAATATATTATTATAATGTTAATCTATTTTTAATATGTATTTTTCATTTCTGGAACTGAATTCTGGAAAACTCTTATTATGTGGCTCTTCCCCATGAGGAACACAGAAAGATTTGATGTACAATATCTTCACAAGCAGTTTTGCCAGAAGGTGTGAGAGGTTTTTACATGGTCATTTCTCATGTTGGCCTTCAGTATACCTCTCAGGGAAGACAATGGGTGGGAAGCCAGCCCTGAGCCACAATTCACTGAACAGGGCCTGGGATGGGGGCTGAGTGCCTTGGCAAGTGGGAAAGAACATCTGAGGAGCTATTCCAGGACAAGGACTGGTGACAGAAAATGACAGGAGAGCACAGGAGGCAGAGAGAACTCGGAAGAAGAGAGAAAGAAGAGAAAGGGGAGACTCTGGAGGCCCTGCACTCGGATAACGCTCTCGGGAAACCTCCGCCTGGGCTCTCTCAGGACCTCACTCCAGGCCCCTAAACCTGCTTCTCATGGCCTATGGCCCTTCTCCTCCAAGGGCGATCAAATAAATGGTACAACCACCTGGATCGTGGCATGCCACACAGGGTATAAAGTTATATTTTTGCTCTATTTTTATTTTTTAAAATTTTAAATTCAATTTTTGTAAGCCATGGATGTACATGATAAAAAATAGACCACCCATCCTCCCAGCCCTGCCTCAGAAGCACAGCAGTGACTTATTTGGGGTGTGGTCTCTGGATTGAGCGGGTTTCTTTTTGGCTCTCGTTTTTTGTTGATTTGTTTTCTATTTTTAAAAAATTTATTGGGGTGACATTGGTTAATAAGATTATATAAGTTTCAAGTATACAATTCTGTAATATGTCATCTGTATATATTTTTTGTCTTAGGAGTTGCACGGATACCCAAAATAAACTAGTGGCCTGGCCATTTATAGTTAATATTAAACAGTGGTAATTATAACCACAGAATTGATAATTGATGCTGAAAACAGTCCTAGCAATTTTATTAAAAGTCCTAGTAATTTTTGTGATAGCAGCTATCACAAGGAAGGGTGCAGTTTGAAAATCCTTAAAAATAAAAGCACTCTAAAATGAATTAAATGCATAGAATATCGTTTCTATAATTAATATCTTTCTGGAAAATGAAGGTTTGAACAGCAACCACCATCAGTCCACTCTTCTACTGACCCCATGTCTCCGTTTCCTCCCACAACCAAGCACCAGGTAAGAAGCCAGAGTTCATGCTTAGTCAAAGTTGTGAGGGGTCTTCCTAAGATTCATTTTCTCATCTTGAAAATAACACCTTCATAGGGATTGTTGTGAGAATTTAACAAATCCACTTAGTAAAAGAACCCGACACAGTGCCTGGCACATAGTAGGCCCTAAATAAACATTAGTTCTCAGGATAAGTACTTTCTAGTCTTAATAGAACCACACTCTCTTTGGGAAACATACGTATCTCATACTTTCCCCAACTCACAGAGACATATATAGAGAGCTCCCCCGACTAAGCCCTTGTTAAAAAAATCTAAAGCAGATTACCTTCCCATAAGCCATATCCTTGGGAAATCTTGATTGGGTGTTAGTGTAAGAACTGGATTCCAAAGTCACATATTTCAGTGTGGGAAATGAATGCAAAAATTAAATTCCAAGGTCACACATTTAAATTTTGGAAATGCTGGGGTAGGCTGGTTTCTTTACTGCAGAAAATCCTACCATCTGATCAGGTACATTGTCAGTCTCTGAAGGGATTAATGTGCAGTGCTTCCCAGATGTCTTTGTGAGTGAACACTTTCGAAGGGAGTATCTGACTCTGCCTGAAGGAACACTCTTGGAAAACCCTCATCAGTGGTCCCCACGCCTGGCTGTGCACCTGGAGATAGGAGCTGAGTGCCTGCATTGCTTAGGAAGCTCGCTGGGCAATCCTACTCATCCGGTCCACAGACCAGCACGTGAAGGTGACTGCGTGGGAGGTTCCAGTGTGCTTCCACTTGGCAGGTCCCACATTGACGCCGCATTTTGAAAGAAAAGGTTAAGAATTAAAGAAACTATCTTGTGCTGCACATATGAATTCACAACTTTGAGTAAGATCGTCACTACAATCTCAAGGTACTTGTTGAAGGCAAGTGGCAATATTAAACTCCATTTTGCTTTTTAATTTGAAGCTTATGAAGATTATGTAAGTCTGATCAATATCATTCCACCTACTTCAAATAGACATGATAAGTTTAAATGAAAGCCCAGAAGGTCAGAACTCTCTTCATAAACGATGGAATATTCCACCTCATCTGTTTTATAGCAACATCTTGGTCCTCACCATTTCAAATATTATACATAACGAATTGTGAGAGAATGAGCAAAGCAAGTAGTTTAAGTGTATGTGTGAATGTGTGGTTCTTTCAGAAATGAATAAAACTTTTGCAAGAAATGTCAAGATCTAAGCAATGTCATTTCTCTATTAAATTATTGCGATGCAATATATGATGCAGTTGCTTCATGAAAAAGATGCTTCCCTCTGGCTTTGTACAGAATCCGGGAGATGAAAGCGCTAACACTTACTGGTAGAAAGCTTGCTGAGGCTCATCATTAAGCACTATGGAAACAGCACCATTTGAAAGGTACCCTGAGTAG